AGAGTCTGCCAATCAGACTGGAGAATCACAGGCAAGTTTGGGTTGGAAGGGGCCTGCAAAGGTCATCCAGCCCAACTCCCTCAGTGAGCAGTGACAACATTGATTGGCACTTATCACCACCAATGCTCTATTTTAAAAGAGTTTCCTAATCTTTGAAGTATGCAGGGAAATTGATTCATAGTTTTTGTAATCAGTAAGCCTTTAATAATCTGAAAGACACATAAAAGTCAGAGCTACTGTAATTAGTTTATTTGCATCTATCTGTAATGATAAGCCCAGTTTTACATGGAAATATAGAAAATTCCTTTCTCTATGTGATGTCAAGATGTTTGAAAAAATGGGGTTCTGCAGTTTTGTTGATAGCAGATGGTCAAAACCAGTCCTTGTAACAGAGCGGCCCTGGCTGGTGGTTTGCTGTGCTTTGCTCTTGGTGCGCTCCAGGCTGTGGGGCACAAATCCTGGCTTGACACCAGGACCACACATATTTGCAGGGGTGTTTAAGATGATGCTGAGCTCTGTTAGAATGAGAAAGTGCCATCCCACAGTCCCTCAAGCAGCTGTGATGATCCTAAGCCAGAGTGACATCCAGGAACATGATTCTTCCTTTTCAATGGAAGCACAGCTGTGTAGTTTTAGGATGAGGGGCTTCCCTGGGAGCAGAGTGATTTTTGCTTCATATCTGGATTTCTTAGAAGGCTGAGCACCAGCCTAGAATTATTCCTAGAAAATTATCAATTGGACTAAGGAAACTGCCCTATTTAATGTTTAATTACTACTTCAGATGGATTAATTTGAAGATTGTTCTCTCTAACAGCAAAAAAATCCTTCAAGATGTTTCCATGACAGCTCTTCACTTCTTCCCCAGGGCTGGAACACCAGAGCAAATTACAAATATTTATATGGTTCTAATGATTAAAACTTATTTCTGTGCCATAACAAAAGAAATCTGAGAGAAAGAAAAGTTTCTTGGAAACCAGCATCTTCCTTGCTGCATATTGCTGAGTGCAATACCAAGCCTCTGTTGATTTCCAGAAGTTTGCTTTAAAATGATCATATTGTTCTCAGTGTCTAGCCTTGCCTCTCCTACCCTGGGCTCTCAACCTTTTCTGAACTGAGAATTAAAAGGTGCAACACTGCAATGGTAGAGAGCCATGAAAGTAAGATCATTAGAAATGAGTATTTTGCAGGTCCAAAGCTTCAGAGAGTTATTTAACCTTTAAAATAAATTGTAGAAAATCACTGTGTCTGCATCTTTTCCAGTGAATAAATTGGGTAATAAAATCCTTTCGTCTTCAACCTCCTCTACCCCAATTTTTAAAATCATGTCATAGGATCTGGATCAGAAATGAACAATTTTCGCTGCTTGGAAAAACATTAGTCATGGAAACATCTCATAAAAATAAGCTGTGTTCAGCTTATTTGCTCAGTCTATATTTGCTTTTTCCAAGAAAATGAAAAAAGAATTTACTTTTCTATTTCAGGATTACTTAACTCTTCTAAAACTCCATACTTAAATGAACTGATGCTGAAAGTCTTTGCATTCAACAGGCTCAATATTTCATCATCTATGCTTATAGTGATCTAGATCCCAGATATTTTTCTAAACCCACCAGCCAGTGGATGAGATGGTAAAAGTACACTACAAAATAACTTTTGCTGCAGCACAGCAAACTCACTGCTTTTTGTCTTTGGATCAAATTCTGCAAGTTTCCTTTCATTAGGCAAAACATTTTAAATTGCAGAATTTTTCTGTAAGGCCAAGCAGAGAAATTCTACGGTGTTACATTACATTACAGTTGACATTACATCTTGAAGAGGGATTTTCACTGCAGCAAATCCTTGGTCATTAGGGCTTCTAAAACTTTCAGTCAGCATTCCCATTCTCACATGACTTGCTGATCTCAAGGATTCATTTTTGCCATCTAGTGGCTTTGAGGAGAATTAAGAGAAATTTGCTAATGACAAATTTTAAAATTATTGTTTGTGATAAAAGATAGCAGCTTTAATTTATGGTTATATTTGAAAAAAATGTTTATACCTGGAAAAGAGGACTCTTTCCTCCACCTAGCCATTAAATGAACACTGAAAGAAAACAGGATTAACGTGTGACCACTGAGACTCTGAAAAGAACAGCTGAGGTTACTGCATTGGAGTGGGGGATGGGGTTGCACTGACTGAGGGAGGAGGTTACTCAGAGGACTCCTCATATCCAATGTGTCTTATAGCAGTACTGGAAATTCATAAGACAACCCAAGCAGAATCCTCTTCTGCTCCCTTCTACTTTGAGGGGTGGATAAGGAATAATATTTAACAAGTTATTTCCCAAAAGTAGTATAATGAACAGAGAGGCTTAAAGGAGAGTCTCTTTTTACATAAAAATAGATGCCATAATAAAAAATTAATAGAACTTCACAAGTTCCATTTAACCCACAGTACATAGTGCTCATTAATAACAGTAACTCAGGGTAAAAATATTTCATTTTATGAATGTATAATATAATATTGATTTAAAAGATACAAATAAAGAAGCAACAAAATGCACTGAAGTATTTCAACACCAGCAGCTAGGAGGCATCTCTGAACTGGATATCATTGACTTGAATCTTTCCGTTTTCTCTTAAAAATATTATGATGGAACTCCCTTAACATTCAGAAACATAGAATGGGTTGGGACCTTAAAGCTCATCTAGTTCCAACTTCCACCACTCCCATGGGCAGGGCCCTTCCCACTAGTACAGCTTCTTTAGAGCCCCAGCCATCCTGGCCTTAAACACTTCCAGGGATTGAGAACCCACCGTTTCTCGGGGCAGCTGTGCCAGTGCCTCACCACCCTCTCAGCAAAAAATTCCTTTCAAATACCTAATCTAAACCCTCTTTCAGTTTAAAATTGCTCCCCCTTGTCCTATCACTACTCACTCCTGTAAAAAGTCCCTGTCCCTCTTTTTTTACAAAACAAAACCTACTTTGCATTTAAAGATAAAAGTGTAGTTATACTTCATGGAGAAAACATGATCCACACTGGTTCACATCCTTTCAAAAATATAAACCCCCCCCAATTTTACAAAACACAATTACACAATCTCCTGTTTCTAAATTTTTGAATCTGATGTAATTAAAACCCATAAAAATTGATATTAAATTTCAAGATAAAGAGATGTCAGCATGAAAGATCTGGTCTGTCACTGAGCAGTTTGAATTCTTCCCAGTTTCATGCCTATTATTTCAGATGCATGGATAGTGCACCTGAAAATTAGTGATTAAGAAACAGGAAACAGAAGCCTGCCCAATTTTAGTAATGGCAAAAGATGGAAACTGACTTAAAACAAAAACATTTTACAATCCTTTTATTTACATTTGAAATAAAGGTTTCAAAAAATATACTGTGAACTTCTGTAGTTGTTTATTAATGACTATTTTGAAAATCCAGATGAGGCATTCCAGGTTTTTTAAGATGCTGACATTTTATTTTACAAATGCATAAAAGTAGCACAACTTGTATAAAAAATGTAACAATATAGTCAAGTACAAAACAGTAGACTATCACACGAAGTCTGCAAGATTCTTTTTTTCTTCAAATTGTTTGTCTACTGCAAGGGAAAGGGCCTGAAGAAAAGTTGACATTGTAACACTGGGGGACTGAAAATAAGAGAACATTTTGTTAGACACACCACAGCAACAGGCAGCCATAGTATTTTACATACAAATCACAGTATTTAAAAGAGAAATATTTGAATTTTATGTTACAAAAATTGCAAAATGCTATAAACCAAACTGCAAGTTTTTTTAAAATCAGCTAGCACAGCAAGTCAAAGTAAACCTGTGCAAAGTCTTCAGTCACAATACTGCACATTCACTTAGAAAAAGGTTTTTAACACATTATTATTAATCAAGTGGTAGAGGTTTGGGGTTTTTTTCAGCAAGAAGTTATAAGAGCACCAATATTAATGTTCATTAATTTAATTAAAAGTACAGTGCTCTTGGGCAGGTCAATCCCATCTCTCTTCTTCAATCCCATTCTAAATTATGAACAGCACATAATCGTTTCAGTCTACAAAGCTGCAGAAACAAGTGCAATTTAGATTAAAAGGAAGGTTTGGACCAATCTTTCACTTCAGGAAGCGTTCAGATTATCTTCCTGCCTGTCTCAAAAACAACCCAAAATATAATGACCAGAATAAAGTCACTTGAATATAATAAACTTACTTGAATATAAAGTGCATGTGCTAGGAAAGGAAGCTTTCTCAGGACCCGACCACCAAGACCTTCACTTTTTCTATGATAAAACAGAGACAAGTGCTGCTTAAATGCTAAATATCTACTCTTAAAAGAAGACCTTTCCTTTTTCCATGTTTCTCCATTAAATTGCTCTGAAAGAACCTCAGATGACAATTCAACAGGCCACTTGCAGCTCTTTTATTAGCAGGAGCAGGGAGTGAACAGACAAGTCCCACTTATGGGACGCTACACAGCACAGCACACAGCAACAGAACAGGTACAGCTGCTGCCTGCCAGTGCTTACATCAGGCCCTTCACATTGTTTTGCTGATCTCATGAATTTGGGAGGACATCTACCACCACTGTATAGCGTGGTACAGACACAACCACTTTTGGAAAGACTAGGAAAAAAACTGGTTTGAATTCTGGACCTTACGGGTACTGCCTGTCTCCTTCTAACCACCATTTACACAGAGTTTCCTTCACCTCATCCACTTGGTGGATGCTTGCACCTTCTCCAAGTGCTACTTTGTGTATGTAAAATATAAACCTCTGTGTCTGGAAAAACTTACTTGCTTTTACTTCACTCCTCACTGGTTAAGACTGCATACTTCAGAAACAGAAAGAAAACACACTTTCCACACTTTTTTTATGAATATTGTTTTTTTCCATAGGGATCAGTACTTTGGAAAAAAACATTGTTGGATATTGTGAATATAATTTTTATTGTTTCAAGAGCTGTTATGCTGCAGTGAAAGA